ACACACACACACACAGACACACACACACACACACAGACACACACACACACACACACACACACACCAACAAGAGCAGAGATCAAGGAGGAACTATAATAAAAATAAAACAAATTTTAAAATTAGTAAAATGTTTTAGTAAATAATTAAGTGATAGTTTAAATATTTTAAAGATAGTTATATGTACTAATATAGTTGAACTAGACATGTTGGATGACAGAATGATAAGAATAGAAGGTATAAAAATATATAGCCTTTCCAGGAATCAGGGGTTATAGAAAACAAACTATATTAAATTCCAAATGAGAAACTATCCAATCCCTTGAATTTTTCTAACAGGATTTGCAAGATCATTAGTGTCTAAAGGAAAATCTATGCATTTGATGTGATGTGCATTAGAGAATCTTGAGTAATCTTTGTTACCATGAGATTCTGTTTCTCTATGAATTTAAATGTTTGAGTTACTAATCAGGGGAGTCATACTGAACGAAGATTATACATCAGAATCACATAGGGAGCTGTGTACACCTGCACCTGACTGAGCCTCACTCCTACATTTCAGACTGAGCCTGGCTCCTGGGTATTCTGATCTAATAAATTTTTGATAGGATTAAAGATATATATTTTTTTAATCCCCAGAAATAGTTCTTGTGTGTATGCCCTATAGCATTCTTCTGTCTTTGAAATTACTGTATTTCTTCCATCACAAACATACCTACACTATTACATGCAAGTGCATACCAACACACTTAGCATGCATGAAATGTTTATTTAGAAACTTAAAATGATCTTCATATTCTCTACAGCTATACATAGATACATTTGTATAACCCATGGATTCCTAATCATGCTATCTTTGCTTTTCCTACTTCACAAAAATAGAGCCTAGTAGAATAGTATTATGGGGTAGTTGTAACAGTGAATCTTTGTTTCAATTCCTAGATATCAGGTAAATTGCCAGTTTTTCAGAGGTAAAGTTCCACTGTTTATAAAATAAGTCCTCATCAAGCTCTATCACTTTCTTATTCAATAAATCTCTATAGTGACTGAGTAGATAATTATACATTTTAAGATACAGTGTTTGTTCTGATGCCAAGCCCTTTTTAAAGCCAGCTTCTTACTAATTTTTCAGTTCATGATTTTCTAATACTCTAATATAGCGAAGCAATGTGTTTCCAATTTCCTTCTTTCTATATACCTTTTTATACAACTCAATTATAAGAAATACTAAGATTATTTCAGTAATGTATTTACATTAGAAAAATGTTAATATCTGATTATAGAGAATTCTAAAGAGCATACTCCTGGCACCTGTAGATTTTAATGCTTATATTGTCTCCTTTCCAAAGGAAATGGGCTTTTTTTGAAGGATTTTGTGTTTGAATGACATTTTTAAGGT